GTTTCTACCCGCCACTGAGGAAAGAGGGCACACGGCTGCAATTATCAAGTGCGAAGGACTAAGGCTCTCCCCTTAGTCTCAGAGGAACATGTTTGCACCAATGCTTGGGTTACCCAGAGGCCTGAGCTCTGGGCCAGGGCTGCCCACAAGGAGAGGGCTGGTGTAGCCAGATCCCTCCTGGCTGCCAACATTAGCCTTTCTTTTAAAGAACTTTTAAAATTGCCTTCTAATAACCTGGAATACACTTTTTAAATCATAGATCCAACTAAATCTGGTATATACCTACAAGGGAATATTATTCAATCTTAAAAAAAAAAAGGAAATTCTGAAATATGCCACAATATGGATGAACCTTGATGATACCACACTAAATGAAATGAACCAGTCACAAAAAGACAAATACTGTGCAATTACACTATGTGAGATACCTAGAGTAGTCAAAATCATAGAGACAGAAAGTAGAATGGTGGTTGCCAGAGGCTGGGGGCAGGAGAAATGGGCAGTTATCGTTTATTGGGCAGAGTTCCAGTTTTGCAAGAAGAAGAGAGTTCTGGAGATGGATGATGATGATGGTTGCACAACCATGCAAATATATTTCATATCACTGAACTGCACGCTTAAAAATAGTTAAGAGAATAAATGTTATGTGCATTTACCATAATTTTTTTAAATTGGGGGGGAACATTTGCAAGTATTTGGGATGACCAAGGTACCAGTCAAGAGACAGATACCTAGAGAAAAGGTTCCTAGAGCAGTATTGCAAAAAATGAAAATACAGGCAGTGTCTAACTTTTTAAAGAAGTTATCGTCCCAAAGTATATCTGTAAGACGATTATCAAATCAGAGCACATTTCCCCACTTGCCCTATAATGTACCTGAAGTGTGAGGGTTCTGTAAAATATGAGTCTATGGAGAAGTGTTACAGCTAAAATAAACCTCTTCCCTCTGAGGGAGAGGGCTTGGTGGTCCAGGGAGTGGCAAATGGTGGAAAGGGCTGGGAGAGATAGAAGTACAATCCCCAAAGCAGCAAAGAACTACTCACATTCAATGCAGGTACGCAAATTAAGTATATGCATAAGCAGCACCCAAGAAAGTCCGTGTTCTCAATAAATTTTACTAACTTTAAGAGGGCTTGAAAATAATATCAAGAGTTGCTCTGCCATTTAATTAAACTAGGATTGTGAAAAGTACCCCTATGAAGATCTAGAGAACTTACTACGCTCCATCATCAGAGGCTACACAATAAAGGAGGTGCAAAAAAATAAGAATAAAAACCTAGAAATTTTACTAGATTAAAATAATTACTCATAATTAAAAATCCTGAAGGCGAAACGGAATATTTGAAGGTCAAAAGCAATTTAAGTAATCTAGAAAGGTTAACAGTAAATTAAATAACTCATTTACTTACTGTGTAAAGGTACACGTTACATTGTAGAAATGCCAAAGAGCCCAACAACTGTGCTTTGCCTAAAGGATACTTTTCCTGGCCTAGTGGAAAGAGTGATTTTAAAATGCCACTCTGATTATCTCTGCACAGTCACTACAAATCACAGCTCTGATTAAGTCCTGTATTTTTAATACATTGTCCTTCAGTAGTAATACTAGGATCACTATGTATTTTTTCTAGAAACAAAATGGGATTTCAAAACACTCGAAAATAAATATTTTCCCCTCCCTAAGATTAATACTGAAAATAGTCACTGCCTTAGGAAAACAAAAATAGGCTATAATGGTGGACTATTTAAATAATAAATATATTTCCACCACAGTCATTATGAATGTCGTGCAGGAGCCAAGGAAAAATACCAAGGCTAAATTGGGGTTTCCTTCTCATAAACATTTGTTTGATTATACTGACCTCTGGTGGCTGTTGAAGGACTTTTTTTTAATTAGTATGCGCACTAATATTTCATCGCTTGAAGGGGAAATCTTTTCACAATGTATACAAATCACATTGTACATTTTAAATATCCTACAATTTTATTTGTCAATTATACCTCAAAACTGGGAGGGGGGAGGTATTATATCATCAATAATAAGTACTTGATCAACATGTTTGTCTTCAAAAGGATAAGGGTGCTTTATAGAATTATAGAAGAGAGAAAATTATATTTAGTTCAAGACAAATGAATACTCTATAGCTTTTATACATTCACTTAATATTGACTTCCATTTACAAAGTACTAAGTCCCAGAAGTATAGGGGTGAACAAGCCCCATATAATCTATGAAGTACCACCAATTCTAAGTGACCTGAGTGAACCAAGAGAAGCACAGAGTGCTGTGGGAATGTCTAGAGGGGTTAACCCATTTTAGACGATGACTGGAGAACAAAATCAAGTCGCCTGAATAATAGCAGAAAAATAGCTTTCCAGGGAACAGCGCAGGAAGGCTGTGGGATAAGACAGACTGGTGAGTTTAAGAAACTTAAGGAATATATGTCTAAACCATGGAGTTCAAGGGTAAGGGTAGCACTTAACTAAAGATGAAGGCTAGCCCTAGCCGGTTTGCTCAGTGGTGAAAGCATCAGCTGAAGGGTCCTGGGCTCGATTCCGGCCAAGGGCACATACCTCGGTTGCAGGTTCGATCCCTGGCCCTGGTTGGGGTGCGTGCGGAGGCAACCAATAGATGTGTTTCTCTCACATCAATGTTTCTCTCTCTTTCTCTCTCCCTTCCACTCTCTCTGAAAAGCAATGGAAAAAATATACTCTGGTGAAGATTAAAAAAACAAAACAAAAACATAAAGATGAACACTGAAGAGGTAGGCAAGGGCCAAATCTTGCAAATGTTTTTAACATGTTTTAGTACCTAAATTTCCTTATCTTTTTTTTCCTACCTAAGCCATATGATAGGTCAAGTCCACAAACCATTACATGAGAAACCCTATAGATCCTCCCTACAATTTCACATCTTTCAGAAGTCCTTTTCTACTATTTTATCTTCTTCTCTCCTCTAGTACTTATTCTGTTTACCATTCATTGAACAAATTAATTCCTCAGAGGCCACCACCCACCTGAGACTTCCCTGCCTGGTCATTGTGCAGGGTGGTCTCTGAATGGACTAACTATGGACATCTGACCCAGGGGAAGCCCATCTACCCATGAAGAGGCTTGTTTGTAAGGCTCTAAAGACAACGGTTACTTAGCTGGGCCAATGTGACCAGTCCAGATTTGGACCAGAGACATCTTTAAGGTTGTCAGAAGTGTGAGAAGAAAATGGAGCAGACCATAAGAGACAGAGGCAGTAGCTGCTCCCAAGAACATTGGTGCTCATCTTTACAAAAACCCTCTTGGTCTCAAGTTGGTCTCAATGAGACTCCATCCTTGGAGGCATCTGATGGACCTCGCTGACTCAGCACCTTACCATTCCACTGCCTTCTGTTTTTCTGTCACTGTTGTGTCATTTATATGACATAATATGATAAGTGTTTTCATATTATTTATCTCACCATAGCAATGGTCTTTGAAGACAGAGATCACATGTTTAGCTGCCTTGTATTTATCACAGCACTTTCAGCTCTCAACACATATTAGGTGGGTGGGGGGTGGTGGATGGATGGATGGATGGATGGATGGATGGATGGATGGATGGATGGACGGACAAACAAACAACTGAAGACTTTATAGTGAAATCAAAAAGTGGGAACTGAGAATAAAACCTAACTCCTTAAAACTCACACGATGCTTCCTAATCCTCAAAGCCCATCATTTTCCATATGCTCCAAACTTCTCCCAAATCCCAGGCACATGAAGCTCTCTGCCTCTACACAAACCCTCCTCTCTCCCAAGTCTCACAAATGTCTGCTCTTTCCTCCGTCTCTACAAACTCAGTTGTCTGCTTCCTCCAGTGTCCATCACCCCTGCTCTAGGCTTCCTAACTCCCTGCACATGCCTCTACACGTTCTCCTTTCCTATCCGTCTCCCAGTGTGCTCTGCACTTTTATGCACATGCTCAAAAAACAGGTGCTGACTTAAGGTGGACTAGTTCTGCTTTTAGGATGTGACTCCAGAAAATGTTAACCAAAGGAAAAATTCTTTAATTTTTTATTTATTAAGTACTTGGCACTTTTATCTTACCTCAGGCCTAATGCTAATAAATGATTATCTCTTTTAATCCAGTGATTCTCAATGGAGGCGGGGGAGCGTATTTTCCCCCAGGAGACATTTGGCGAGGTCTGGAGACATGTTTGGTTGTCACAATTTGGAGGGAGGGGAGAACCATCACTGGCATCTAGTGGGTAGAGGCCAGAGATACTGCTAAATGTCCTCCCATGCACAGGACAGCACCCACAAGAAAAAATTTTCATCCAAAATGTCAATAGTGAGAAGCCCTGTTCTAATAGAATTATTTTTAAAGCTCTTACTCACAAATTTATTTTAATAAATTCCAAAGAAAAAAATGGGAACATATTCAATGAATCTTCAAACATCACATGGTGATGCACAGGAGAAAATCTGAGGCAGAAACATGGAGGGTGTTTTAATACCTCTGCCCTATTAGATCTCAAAGCTACATGAGTGAGCAGCAAATAAAGGAAGCAGGTGGAAGAGTTGGGGAGAAAGAAGGACTGGAGAATGGACGATTGATGTGGCTGTTTAAAGTCACTGTGTTTTTTAAAACAAAGATAAAAGTAGGAGTCATTATCCTGAGACATAAAATTTGCCAAATAACAGCTATGTATTCATTACTTAGTTTTAAAATACTCAGTGCATGCAATAAATAAGTAAAATAAACATCATTCAATCAGTTTTATACTAGAATGTGAAGTGTTTTAATGTTGAAACAGTATATTACAGAAAAAGACCATCATTAAAACTCTAATACGTTATAAGGTAAGTTAAGCTATTGAAAAACATAGTAAATTAAAAACAAACCACTTAAATTGTCTAGATGTTCAGATTAATGTTTTTCTGTTCATTGAATAAATGACTTCGGATATATTTCCCCACCTGACCTATTTAAATCATTTTAATGTTCCCCTAAAAATATATTTATACTCACATTCACTTGAACTTGAATGGACCAGTCACCAAGTATCGGATGGGAAGATAATTGAAAAGTTTTAGAAACTACTCCAAGGTCACTTTGTTCTGACAACCACTGTTGGATCAAATTTGACTTGGGATCCTACAATGAAAACCATACATGTTAACTACATAAAAGCTGTGTGCATACACGTCCTATCTAGTTATGAGTGATCCTACTGGCACTCCCAGGCACGCCCAAAATATGGCACAGGGACAGTTTTTGAAAAAGATGTCAGCTTTACTCCCCTAAAAAAAGACAAATCAAAAATTTCTCCTTTGCTCATATTCTCCTGAGAATATCTTGATTCTGCTCCATCTTTTCATCCCTGGCACCGGGTCTCTCCCACATGAAACACTACAATGTGCCCATCAGCAAACCTGTGTTGTTGTTGTTTAAAAAGATTCCACCGGAGAAAGAGCAGGCTCCTGTGTTAAAGACCCACTAGGTGTCAGGCGCTCTGCCTTCTCATTACCATTCATACACCATTCAATCAGGGTAGGGTTATTCTACACAAAGGATAGAGTTTGGAAAGGAAACACTCCTTAGCAGTGTTTCCAAGGCTTAGTAATCTGATCCCCTTTATATTTCTAGGCTCAACTTCCTTCAATCATCCAGATTTGTTTGCATTTTACCCCAAAAGCCCAAGCGATTAAGCCTCTATCATTGCCACACTCAATGCCCTCCCTTCCTTGTCCAGCTGGTAAAATAAGCTCGTGTCTTGCCTTCGATATAAGCGTCGAATAGGCAGAAATGACCACCTCCTGGAGAGCTGCTAGGACATCTGCGGTTTATCCCTCCTGAATCCACCTTACTGTTTGAAAGTATTCATTAGTTATCTCGGGGTGGGGGGTCCCAACTAGACGGTGAGCTCCCAAGAGCAGGGATCAAATGTTTTCCCTTTCATGGTCTCTGTCCTTTGACTAAAAGGTCCAGTTATTAGAAACCAGAAGAAATCTCTCTCCCCAAGTGGGGGAGAACATGAAAATCAGGTAGCAAGCACAATGCTGAGAACTGAGTAGCAAGAAACTGACTGTTCAAATCAAAGACCAAAAGCAAGTCGAGAATGCAGGTCACAGTGCTTAGCAAACTCCTGGGACAGGCACTGTAATCAGCAGCTGGCTCTGCTCTGCCTGCCACAGCATGAGGCCCACGGAGTTTAATGGCTTGAAAACAAAGGAAGAAATACAAATAGCTAATAAATATATGCTGTCTAATAATTTTTTTAAATGCAAATGAAATACCATTTTTCTTCTGTCAGACTGACAAAGACAAAAAAATGTTAACGGTAACTCCCAGTGTTATTGAAAGTGCAAGGGAAAGAAATGACTGTACTCTGCTGAGATACTATTTTGGTGAGGGTGCACCTTTCTCCCAGGTGGTGTCATGGCCCTGTGACCAAGGATGTCTGAACTGAAGTATTTGATGACTTTGCACCTGGAGGATTTGGAGGGTTGGGAATGAATGAGATAATTCCTCTGGTTTCCCAAGCCTGTCTTGGACCTAAGCGTAACTGTCACCAACAGGAAGACATAGAGAATGTAGAAACACCAGAAGTCTTTGCAGAGCATATCAGGACCTGAGCAGGCCATGCATGGTGGCATCACAGCAGAACCCACCATTTGCAAGTGGTCACCTCCTGCTGGGACACACACAGGACAGCCATGTAGAATGTGAACAGTGTCACTGTCACAGCCAGAACAGGTGCATGAGGGGATGCTAGAAAAGCAGCCCTCATGCCCTTTGAGTAACCTCTGCATAGGTCTGGCTCTGTCAGCTGCTGCAGCACAGTCAGTACCAGCTGCCTGTGCCAGGCTATCTTGAGCAGTGCACTCCCTGGCTGAAAAATGTGTCTGCAAGGAGTATTTCTGCCACTCCCTTGAGTCCTGGATTATGCAGTGTCCATCCAGCATGCAGAATTAGAGAAATCGAATCACTTAAACAAGATGGTGCCCTCACCTGGCCAGAAATGAGGTTCTGGTTTAACCGCTGCTGTTCCAGGCCAGGATGTCAGGGCACAGTCAGGATATATCCCCATGCCAACACCTGTTCCCCCGTAAGGCCATTCAACTGTACCAAGAGTAACAACTTCTTCAAGAATGAAGGTCAAGGTAGAAGGCAGCTGTGCCAGCTGCCATCAATGTGTTGGAGGCACTGATTTCAATAGTGTCAGGTCAGATTGGCTGGAAGGGGCCAAAACTGGGGCAGAATCAGATATGTTTCTTTCACGGCTGAAAGGCCTCTGAAACCCCTTTCCTTCCTGAAAAGATCAGTTACTGGGACAGAAAAAATGAATAAACCCAATGATTTTTTAAAAATTTTAAAAACACACACTAAACTCCCCTAAATATGCTGTGACATTCAATATAGCTACAGTCATTCTTAGCTGGACAAGATGGGCCCCAAAAAGTCAGCCATCAGGTGCATTTCTCCATGTTAGCCTGCAGCTGCTTCTGTGTTAGGGAAATACAACTTTGTCCAAGTCAGTGGCTCTTGTTAAACTAAGTCCCACCTTTTTCTGGAAAATTTTTCCAAGAAACCAACTATTCCACACTGAAAGATGTAAGAAACATCACCGTCTGGTGAAGCCCGGCCCAAAGGAGTGTTTTCAGATGGAGGAGTACATATTTCTCCCAGATGGTGTCATGGGTGTGGGCTTTCGCATCAGCGCTATGATTTGATCTCTGCAAGTTACAAGATAGGAAGGAAGCAGTAGACCTGAGCTCATATCTCAGCCTCACTGCCTGGATGCAGAGAGCAGAGTATGGCCACCCCCCATTCACTGTTCCCAAATACTTTGCATTCCAGGTGACATTTAAGTCTAAATTCCACTCCCCTGGCCAAGAGGGCTGCATGTGGGCCAAGCCAGTAGGATCCCTTAGGACCAGAGGTGGCGAGAGGAAGGTCTGTCTCTCTGAGTGCTTCTGGGAAAGCTAAAAGCAGCAGGCTCCACTCAAACTTGGAAAGAACACAAAGAATCTACAAACCAAAGGTTTCAAAGGCAGATGCTAGAGCAGAATATAGGCAAAATTATTAAAACGCACAGAGCAGCCTTCCAGGGTCAGCTGGGTTAGTTCCAGGTTAATGCCTCAAACAGGCATTTTACTCAGTGCTGACTTTTATTCACCTAAGGCAGGAAGCGGCAAATTGGATGTAAACAGCCAAAGACAAGCAGACATTTACTCCTAAGTCGTCGGCTTTCCCATGGTTTCTGGCATATAGTAAGTTTTCAGTGTATGTGGATAAACGAAAAAGGATGGTGTGAATGGAATCCACAAAGCCCTGCCCAGAGAGTCACATGAATTTAGAAATGCTACTCACTATGGCAACCTACTTTATAGACTCTCCAAGACACAGCAGGGGCAGAAACTACAGAGCCACCAACTCTGAAGTAATCTTAGTTTAATCCAATAAATATGCACTGAGCACCATGCCAACCAACGTGGTATTTACTACAAACACACCACAGCTTGAGGTTATATGTACACGCTTGTTTGCTTGATTTTTGTTTGTTCATTTAATTAATAATAAAGAAACTAAAAATAGGAAGAGACTGAACTAAAAGTCTGACTTTACCTCCCATTCTGTTATTCATCAGAGCATTGCGGGTGACCGATGTCCCGGACTGAAGGGGTTCCTGGGACCAGGGACTTTCAGTTTTAAAGTCAAGAGAGTCCCAGACCAACTGGGATGAGTTGTTTGCCTTATTTCCATGTTATAATTTAATGTCTAGCATTCTCCTCGGCTTAAATGTAGAAACCACTTCCAGCTGGGTCTCTACTGTCTTCAACTTGGTTCTCACAGGAAAGTCCTTTGTCTGCTAACCATGCTGCCTCCAGATCATCAGAGTGTTCAAGCAGCAGAGGCCAAATGACTCCCTGCCAAAGGAGGTTCCTACAATAATAACAGCTAATGTTTAGTGAGCATGTACTATGCGGCAGGCACAGTTCTAAATGCTTTACTTGAATTATCTCATTTAATCCTCACAAAAAGTTTCTGAGATATTATTACACATTTTACAGATAAGGAAACTAAGGCTCAGAGAGCTTAATTAATTTTCTCAAGATCATACAGCTAGATCTATTCTTACAGCAGACAGTGATCCTTTTAAGATGTTATGTCAGATCACATTATGCCTCTCCTCAGAATTCCCCAGTGAATTCTTATTTCACTCAGAATAAAATCCAAAGTCCATATAATAGCCAACAAGACCCTTGTATGACACCTCCTCCAGCCCACCTACCTGTATCTCCTAAAACTGTCTCCTCACCCGGAGCTCCAGCACAATGTCAGCTGGTGGTTCTCCCAATGCACCTAACAAGCTCCCACCTCAAGGCCTTTGCATGTGCTGTTCCCTCTGCTTGTGTGAGCTCATTCCTTTATTTCCTTTAGGTCTCTGCTCAAATAGGATTTCCCTAACAACCCAATAGGAAATAGCAATCTCTCCCTCTCTCTCTTGCTTTCTCTCTCTCTCACACACACACACAAATATATACATATCTACCTAAATATGTGTGTGTATTTATATATTGTCTGTCTCCCCACTACCCACTGAAATATAAGCTAGATGTGAACAGGGAACTAACCTATTGTGTTCACTGCCTTATCCCAGTACTTGGAACAGAAATTCAATAAATAGTTAACAAATTAATAAAGCAAAGCAGCAGCGAGGACTGGAATCCCAGCTCCCTTCCCAGAGAAAGAATTCCGTATTGGGAGGGGAGCTTGTCCATGGCAAATTCTAAGATAACATGTGCAAAACTTACAAGAGAGCTTCAGGAAGAGGGCTTCAACTCCTTGCTTCATTTCTCTCTGGCACTTACCTTAATTAGAATGTTTAAAGAGGTTTTGCAAGGTTTAAAATCTGCGAAGAGTGTCACAATACGAAACTTCACTTCTTGCTTTGGCTTGTACAGGGGTTTGTCTGTTTGAATGAAGACAGTCATTCTCTTGGTCTCAAATGATAAACGTGTACTGTTAGAGAATAAAATCTCATCCTGTGCACGTCCAGTTACACGGAGCTCATAAATCTCATTGGTACTGTTCAGAGGTAGCTGGGAAAAAAAGAGATCAGACATATCAGGATCTCATTATTTTACCTCAAAAATGTTTTCAATTATAAGTAGAATAAAAAATGTAAACACAGTATTATCAAAAGTAACTGCAATGTTAAAAAAAAAAAAAAAAGTAATTGCAACGTTGAAAAATTTCCTCCTAGGCACCTAAGTTAAACAATTTGCTTTCCTTTTTTTAACACCCTGTAGTTTGCTCTCCAATTAAATCACAGGGTTTCTGGAATGTGAAACACATCCCACAGCTCACTCTCAGCTGCAGTCACCTTGTCATTTCCTATTCCAAGTGCAAATTTTCCCTCACTGCCAGTCATTGTGGGTCAGAATATCTAATATCCTGCAACATTCTTTTGCATGCCCTGCCCAATCTGAGGCCATCAGTCGGTGAAAGGCAAGACTTATCGAGATTTGGGGTTTTTGCTGTACCCTCTCGAGCTCTGTTCTACGATGCACCCTCTTCCTGCACCTTGTGCACTATGTGTCACAGTCCTGTTGAGGAGGATGGACTACCGCTTCTACTATTTCTAGTAAAAGAAATCCCACCTTCCAGCATGAACAGACCAGAAGCCACACTCAGCAGTTTGTACGTTCTGTCATTTTACCTCACATCAATCCTTCAGGTGGGTGCTCTTACTAATATGATTTTACAAACGAGGAAACTGAGGCTTGGAGGAGGTTAAGGAAGTAGCTCCAGATCACTAGATAAGATTCAAACCCAAGAGGAGCTATGCTACTCTTAAGAGCCTTTCATGTGGTGGTTTCAAAATATGGCCAAAAATTCTCTGACCGTCTTCCCTTAAAAAGATAGACACGAATTCCCCAGATTCGGTGGCTTGCTTCTCGAGAACAGAATGAGTCAGCATCACGAAAAGGATAGTTTCTGCCTGGTTCTCTCTTTCTTTGATTCCTTGCTCTGCTGGACACCACATGCTGAGGATACTCAAGAAGCCCACATAGGGTGGAACTGAAGCCTCCCACCAACACCCACCACCAACCTGCCAGCTGTGTGAACAGAGGATCCCAGCCCCAGTGAAGCCATTGGATGACTACAGCTCTGGTTGACATCTTGATGGCATTCTCGTGAGACCCCCAAATCAGAACTGCCTGACTATGTGGTTCCCAAATTCCTGACCCATAGAAACTGTGAGAAGTAGTAAAAGTTTACTCTTCTTATGTTACAACAAAGTTTTGGGATAATAGGTTACACAATAGATAATTAGCACACCTGACTTTTAGTTTATTTTCAGATCAATAAACCAGAGGTTCTAAAGCTACATTCTGACTCCTTTTTGCAAATAAGTTTTATCCATAGAATTCTGAGAAGAGATTTTTCAGTAACGGCAGCCACCATACAGCTAGGAACATGGGTAAGAATGTGATGGAAATGTAACAAACCACCAATAAAATGGTCAGCAGGAAATATTTAGGGAGAAAATAGTGATGTCTGCAATTTACTTGGAAATGCGTTTTAAAAATAAGATGAATGAGTGGATGGAGAGATGGGTAGATAGACATGTGATAGAGCAAATGTGATAAAATGTGAATGGCAGATTCTAAGTGGTGGGTATAAGAGTGTTCACTATGAAATTCAAGTTTTTTATACATTTAAAAATTTCGTAATAAAATATGAGGAAAAAGAATCAGTAAAATCACCTTCAAATCACCTCTAGTGTTTTGGGTTTTTTTTGCTTTTCTTCAATAAATATTTATTGAGCACCTTCTAGCTCCAAGCTGTTCTAAGCCCTTAGGATACATCATGATGAACCAAAGATGTGTGTCCTGGTGAGGCTGAGATTCTAGTCTGAAACTTACTGCTTATATTCTGTTTTCTCAAGTGACACTTCAGTCCTCAAATTTTTTAAAGCAAATTCCTTAATACTAGAAGCAGGAAAATATACATGCCAGGAACCAGTACATCATATGCTTATACATGGAAAAGATTTATAAATATCTCATATTAAAAATTAGATATTTGATGAGATTTCGCTTTATAATCTGGATTAATTTGATCATTTTTAGTGGCCTAGGTGCTGATCCCAGTGCTGGAAAGTCAGAGATGACAGTATGAACTTGGCACATCAAGAAACCTATGTCTCTGTGAACCTGGGACATCGCCACACAGCCTAGGGGCAGCTCCGCGGACTCCAGGTGGCACAACAGATCCTGAGCTGTAGGTACAGAACTTGGCCCTTCACTGTTAACAGTAGAGGGGCATACTGAGAAGGAGACTGAAAAAAATATGCTGGATTTTTAAAACATTTCATCAAAATTTCTGAAATCAATAAAGATATATTTAAAAAAAAAAAAAAAAATTCTGAACCAGATCTGGAATAAGTATAACCTGCTTCCCACTGTGGAGAGGACACCAGAAGGTAATAAAGGTTCCTGAATCTCTGTTGGTCAAATGCCCTCTGGCTTCTTGGGGCCATAACTACTGAGAAGGTTCCCAGAATTGGTAATAAAGAGGTTCCTTCATAAGAAACTTTCATATCTCTTATACAAGAGCCAATGATTTACCCACAGAGATTCTGGATCCTAAGTGTTGAGCTGCGGGCACAGGGCTAGAGAAAGATGCAGTTCCCACAGTTGGACACTGTCTGGCTGCAGGACAAGAATCTGGGTGTGTATAGTATCAAGGGGCTTTGATCAACCAAATATCAATCACCATCTGAGTTGGGCATGGTTGATTCTCAGTTATGCTAGGTCTGTTTTGTGTGTCTATAAATACACATTCTCTAAGTAAATGACAGCTCTCTGCCCAGAGTACAAAAGGAAGGCACACTCAAAAAGGTCCATGACAGACAATAAATGGGTTTCTTATTCTAATCTGGGCTGTCTAAAGCCATTTCACCTTCTCTGAAAGATCAATCATCTTATGGAAACTGAGACAACATAACAGCATTTCTCCTACTTTATTTCATTAATATCAGCAGTTACTAAGAGCAGTGGAAATTTGAAATAATTTTCAAAATAAAAGTGAGAAATGTAAGATAGTTTCTACTAAAAACATATTAGTGCCCGGCGGGGCGTGGCTCAGCAGCTGAGCATCGACCTAGGATCCAGGCAATCGGGGTTTGATTCCCGGTCAGGGCACATGCCCGGGTTGCGGGCTCGATCCCCAGTCAGGGTCGTGCAGGAGGCAGCCGATCTATGACTCTCTCATCATTGATGTTTCTATCTCTCTCTCTCTCCTTCTCCTTTCCTCTCTTTGAAATCAATAAAGATATAAAAAATAATAATAATAAAAATAAATAAATAAAAATATATTAGTAATTTTACCTAACATAAACTTTAAAATCATTTCTAATTTTTAAAAATCACTCCCTTAAGTTGAATTTATTTACAAAAAGAATAAATGAAATTTTTTCTAGCATATTTTGTACAAAAAGTAATCTTTGTATTAAGCATTAATTTTTTATTTACTCCTTATTAAAGGCTCACTGTAGTATATCAAAAGTAGAAACAATGAGTAACCAGATGTTATAACACATGTTTTAATACATTCAAATATTCACATTTAACAGCAAAAAATTCACGAAGGCTTTAAAAAACAATTTAGAATATTGCATTTACAAACATCAGAATGCAAGTGCACTCTGAAAGTTGGGTCTATTTTAACTGAAAACTCATATAAATGCAGAACCTTCTATTTTTGCCTAGTGTTATCAAATTTTCCCAGACATTTTATGACTAAGTCTTTAAGATTGTTTTAATAAAAAGGGTAAGTCCTAAATATAACCTCTAGTAAAGCTTTCAATAAATATTGCTATAACTACAACAGAAATAGCATAATATTAAAGACACATATAGGATGCTGGACTTAGTATTTCATATAGTTAAGACATAAGAGAATACTAGTAGCCAAGTTTCCAGCTAATGATAGTTTGGATGAGTACAGTGTACACTAGCACTGTTGGAATAAGCCCAAGGGCCCTTGTCCTGTCTATCTGCATTCTCTTTTCAGCCTTTACCGACTTCTGGCCTGTGCCGCTGCAGACTTCTTTGAGGACACTGGGTAGTTATTGTGCTTTAAGCTGTAATTCCTAAACTTAAATCCCACCCCTTCCTGTTGTAGGACAATTATATTACATGAATTTATTTCCATCTTCTCGTTGGAATGCTCTTTCAGCAGTGCTATATACACAGGCTCTGGCGGCCGGTATCTAATGTTTTAGGTTACATTAATGCAACCCAATGTTTATTGTCACCAAGATTGATTGATTCCCCCCTCCCTACTTTTGCCTGCTATGTCCTCCCCCCTCGCTTTATTTAATACTAGAAAACATCAATAATACTGATGTAAGGAAAACACAAACATAAATAGCTAAGAAACATAATAGCTATGGAATATGAGTAACTTTTATAAGGTACTGATTGGGAGTACTCTGTCCTTTAGGAGCCCCTCAAAATGAATGTGGTTTCTGAGTATGCTTGACAACTAGCCTTCAAGAGGTAATGGGGGAGCCGAGCTCATCAAGTAATGCTGACCCTACATAAGTACGTGATATGCCAGGGTCAAAGTCATTAGTCATCTATTCTCAGAAAAGTATACCAAATCGTACCTCTTGCTGGATGCTGTGATCTACTCTATTGCACATTAAATGTCTGAAGCTCCAAAACAAAACAGAGTAATAAAAGTACAAACTTCCAAATCAAAGCCATGGGAATTAGGATTAAATCACAAACAACATTTAATAATCAGATTCTATGACTCTCTCAACAAAATAACCCCTTTGCATTTTTGTATCAAATTTTACAGCACTTTGCAATCTCATTTCACCTCCAGGGTACTGGCACCATTACGAAATGGAAACAATGTCTTATCCCCTTTTCCAGGGCCGGGGTCTGTGGTGACATGAGTGAGGTGCTTGCCTCAGGAACAAAATTTAAGGGAGTTCCAAAAAAACTCAGTAATCAAGATAAATAGCATTATTTTAAATAGTTTAAAATATCAAAAAATAATGCAAATAAATTATGAACAAAAAATTAAAATTTTAAACAAAGACAGGGTCAGTATTGTTAATGTTTCCTCTTGACTCAGACTCCGATGTGGCTCAGCATGACCCTGCCCTTTTCCAGGACAAGGAGACTAAGGGATGGAGTGTTAACTACACACCCAAGACTGCAGGGCTCATTAAGGCAGAAGCAGGACTAAACCGGCCCAGGCTCCTGTACTATTAGTCTGGGCCAGTTTCCCTCAGTGAAGTTCTCTATTTTACAAGAACATATCTCTGCTATGAGTTTGAAAGGCCTAATAAGCAATCTCCCTGAAGGAATATTATTCTTTAAAAAAAGGGGGGGGAGGGTTTCAGAATATACAAAAGAGGTCAGCCTAGTGTCTGACTAAGGCAAGGGTGGGGCAGGAATATTATTCTTAAATAGTCTGAAGATGGAACTGAACTCAAGCAAAATTCACAAGAAATTTAAATTGATACAAAAACCAATAAAATGTTAATTTATTTAGTTCACTGATGCAGTGTAATTTCTGAAACCAATTTTTTTTTTTAATATATTTTTATTAATTTCAGAGAGAGGTAGGGAGAGAGGAGAGAGATAGAAACATCAATGGTGAGAGAGTTGTCCCTGACTGGCCACCTCCTACACGCTCCCCACCGGGGATCGAGGCCGAACCCCAGGCATGTGACCTGACCGGGAATCGAACTGCTATCTCCTGGATCATAGGTCGATGCTCAACCGCTGAGCCACTCTGGCCACGCAAGAAACCAAATTTTTTTAATGGATACTTACTGATGGAAGAATAAGTGTCTTGAAAGAGCCTAAAAGGAAAAGGAGGGGAGAAAAAGAGTCATAATTTGAACCTGATAATATAACACAGAACTCACAAGACTCCCCTAATACTCTTGGATGTGCAGGGAATAATAAACTTATTTGGTCAACCCAAAACAATTCTATTAATGCCCAGAACACTTGAGAGATTACATATCCTTGTGCCAAAAAATTAAGGAAAACTGGGCCAGACATAAAAGGGTATCGGTAGAGGAACCTCCCCAAAAAATAAGTTCTCCTTCTCTTCTCCGTTATCATTTCTGTTGTCACAGACGCTGCTGCTCTTGTTGCTGTTATAAGGTCATGCACAGAGAGAACCTACAGAAGGAATCTGAGGTTTAGTTCTTATGTTCTCATAGCCTCGTGATAAAGCAAGAAAAGGAAGGCATTAGTCATGTCAGTGGTGAGCTGGGACTCATAACTGGCTCATTAGTATTAGAGTAATGCAGGCTTTTTTTTCATGTAAAGTTTCTAAACATAGGAACTGCTAATTCAACTCATGTCCATTTCTCAACCAATCCATTTACTTCAAGGGAAAAAGTGTTTCATGTTAAAAATAAAAAGAGTACTTATTCAAAGTTCCCATTTAAGTGACATGAATTCAGAGATGGTGACAGACCCTCAGTTCATTCATTTAAGAAATATTTATTAAGGGAACCACAATGAACAAAACAAACATGGTTCCTCTCCTCCTGGAGGCCACGTGTGTCTATCCCATGGGAATAGACAGGCACACAGCCCAGTATGGGGTAAGGGTTAAGTGAGGGGCCTCTGGAATCAGAGCATATGGGTTCTATCCTGAATCAGCCACATACTTGACCAAGTTATCTGATTCTCTAGGGTCAGTTTTTTCATCCATAAAATGAGGATGCTAACAATCATACCAATTTATAAGGCAGTTGCAAGGAACAAGTATGTAGATGCCTGTCAAGGGGATAGAACAATGCCTGGCACATAGGAAACACTTAAGAATTATCCACTGAGAATGTCAACGTTCCTCTATAGCAGTGGTCTTCAAATTTTTGTGATGAAGCATTCAATCAATAAACTATTTAGTACACATTATCCATGTCAATTTAGATATATAAAGTTATATACATGCACTTTCTCAAACAAAATATTAAATATTAGAAAACCTTAACTTCTTAGTTTTGCTCGGTAAAATTATAGAAATAAAAGTTAGCATGTGTTCTATCTACACCCTTATAAATGGGCTTAAGCACTCCCAGATGTGTGTACACTCACTCTGAAGATCACTGCCCCAGTGGGCCTCAATGAAATACAAATATTTCTTCAGAAGCTGATAAGCATTTCAGCAAAATCTCTTACCCTACCCAGGACAGATCAGTTTATCCAATAACTGTCAGCATAGGAAGCAAAGAGCAGGAGTCTTAAAAGTAACAGGACATTGGACAAAAAATGTTTTTGAAAAGGTAAAGAAGGGAGGGGAAATTAAACAAGGGCTGCAATAGGGGGAGGGCAGGGAGCACATCAGAGGGATCAAGAGAAAGTACCTAGAGAAAACGATGCCAGAGTCTTAGGATAGGAGAAATTAGCCAGGTGGGGAAGGAGAGGAAGAGTTTCCAGGCACAGTAGCAGGAAATGCAAAGGAGTAGAACATGAGTTTACCAAAGCAAAGATCTGGGTGAGACAAGACCACAGGCAGGGAGAGGGTGGTAGAGTTGAGGACCAGATCATGAGAGGCCTTTTAGACATGGTGAGCCCTCTGCACGATTGTCCCAGGTTACACTGTCATCCTGGCACCATGATTTAGCATTTTTGCTGGGTCTGTCTTTGTTTAGCAAAATATTGATATGAGATGGGTTTAATTTGCACAAGCTGTAACTTTGTAAGCATGCTTTGGAAATATTTCAACTTCCCATTAGTTCTTATTTTTAATGAAATAGACATATTCTATACTGAATTGATGTGAAATTGAGAAGCCCTATGACATTGCAGCAACTAAATTTGGTGAAACAGTCAAAAGAACCACAGAGACAATTCACTTGACAAGTTTTGTCTTATAAAAATATTTGTCAAAATGAGTCATGGTAGTCTTCAGGCAAAAAGACAGGCCATATGAAATATTTGGACTGAAACACTTAAACATTTCAATATGGAAATAATTTTAAATTGAGACTATTCACCATATAGCAGAATTTGCTCTAATCTTACCAGGTACCTCAGCACACGTGGAGAGAGTGTTTTCTCAATTAAAAATATTAAGGTCACTATATACCAACACTAAACAAGTGGAACTTGAAATTAAAAACAATACCATTTACATTAGCACTTATACTTAGGGTATAAATCTAACAAAATATGTACAAGATCTATATGAGGAAAACTACAAAACTCTGGTAAACAAAATCAAAGAACTAAATAAATGAAGAGATATACCATGTTCACAGATAGACTCAACATTGTCAACTTGTCAGTTCTTCCCAACTTTATCTATAGAGTCAATACAATCACAATCAAAATCCCAGAAAGTTATTTTATGAACACTGACAAATTGACAAACTGATTCTAAAGTTTGTATGGACAGAAAAAAGATCCAGCATAGCCAACTCAATATTGAAGGGAAAAAAACAAAGTTGGAAGAATGAAACTCTCTGATGTAAAGACTTACTATGAAGCTACAGTAATCAAGAGAGTGTTTTATTGGGGTGAGGGGAGGGGAGCAGACAAACAGATCAATGGAGGGAAACAGAGAGCCCAGAAATATAGTCAGTTGATCTTTGACAAAGCAGCAAAGGCAATACAATGGAGCAAAGACAGTCTCTTCAACAAATGATGCTAGAACAATTGGACTTCCACATGCAACAAATATAAATCTAGTCACAGACCTTACATCCTTTACAAAATTTAACTCAAAATGGATCATAGGCTTAAAGGTAAAATGCAATACTATAAAATTCTTAGAAGACAACATAAGGAAAAAAAACCTAGATGACCTTGGGTATGATGATGCCTTTTAGATACAACCACCAAAGACACGATCCATAAAAGAAATAATTGATAAGCTAGACTTCATTACAATTAAAAACTCCTTGCAAAAGACAAGGTCAAGAGACCTAAGAAGAAAAGCCACAGACTAGAAGAAAAGATTTGCAAAAGACACATCTAACAAAGGATTGTTATCCAAAATATACAAAGTACTCTTAATAAAACTCAACAATAAAAATGCCTCTATTAAAAAACTCAACAATAAAATATACCTCTATTAAAAAATAGGTCAGCCTGGCTGGCATGGCTCAGCGGTTGAGCATTGACCTAGGATCCAGGAGATGGCGGTTCAATTCCCAGTCAGGACACATGCCCGGGCTTCGGGCTCAATCCCCAGTGGGGGGCATTCAGGAGGCAACCGATCAATGACTCATCATTGATGTTTCTCTCTCTCTTTCTCTCTCTCCCTCTCCCTTCCTCTCTCTGAAAGCAATAAAGGTATTAAGAAAAAGTTCTTTCCCATAGCATTCCAACTAATAAATGTAGAAGGAATCCTGGAATTAGAAAATGTAAGAAATGACTCAGCCAATAATTACCAATCTTATGTGTACAAGCTAGGTGAGACTCGTGAGAAATAATAAACCATTGTTGTTTTAAGCCACTAAGTTTTGAAGTTGGTTCATTCACAGTAATAGATAACTGGAACACTTTCGACATAAAAAAAGGTTAACTAGCAAATCTCTAAAGCTGCAGAGTCCAATATAACAGCCTCTAACCACAAGTGGCTATTGAACAACTGAAATACGCTGCAAGTGTAAAATACACCCCATATTCCTAAGACTTAAAACAACGAAAAAGAATGTAAACTAGCTCAGTAATTTTTATAGCGATTTACATGTTGAACTGATAATATTCATGAATTACTGGGTTAAATTAAATATATTATTAAAATTAATTTTATCTGTTTCTTTTTACTTTTTTAATGTGGTTACTAGAAAATGCTATATTACCTAGGTAGTACCGTTATGCCTTTATTGGACAGTGCTGGCTTGAGGATAGAAGACGTAAGGCTTTTCCCCGAAGCAATAAAACCACCAACAGCTCTGACTGCATATAATATTTTTAATTTTGTGAATAAAATAACAATATGGATACTATTAAGAGTGTTCTAAAACCGTTACAAACATTAACTGGTTTAATACTCCCTCATCATGATCGTATTAAGTACTATTATTCTTATTTTACAAATGAGAACGCTGAGTCACAGAGACATTAAGTGACTTGCCCAGGGTCACACAGAAAAGAAGTAAGGCAGCCAAGATTCTAACCCAGGCAGCCTGGCTCGTGGGTCCCATCTCTAAACCACTACTCTGAACTGTAGTTGTACTTCTGCTCTTTTATTCACTTACCTCTGATTATTGCAAAAGTTCCACAACCTGGAAGGCGCTGGTGTATGCTGGTATCGCCCCATGTCATTCACAGAGATTCAAAACCTCAATCAACGCAGATTCCTTTCTCCCCTCAGCTCTATGTCAGTTGTCACCAGAACCTAAGGTTTCTTCTTCCATAATGTTTCTCCCAACCCTTACAGTTATACTATAAGCAATGCAGCAACAAAACTAATTTTAAAATAGCTCGTGTTAGACAACAACTTCCGAAAAGGACATATGATGAGAAAATTTCCCAACTCTTGTTATCAGTTCTTCACACTACACAGTTATGATACATTGGAAGTTAGTTTCAAGATCTGAAAGATCCCTCTTCACAAGCAAAGTAAAACAATACCCACATCTAAGGCGGGTTCCAACTCCGAGGTGGTGAATCCAGTGCAAGAGGTTTTGTAGGGAGTGTCTTGGGGTGGGCACCTGGAGAAGGGAAGGCAAGGGAAGGAGACAGGACTAGGGAGAAGAAGGGGGAAGGAGAGAGCTGTAGGCTCGAGAGGTGTCCCCAACGGGCACTCAGAAGCAGCATGACCCTTGGGAGTTGTCCAGAGTTGGCTGGACCTCCACCCAAGGAGGGGTGCCCCTAGACAAGGCGACCC